ATCCACCGTTTCACGGTTCTATATTTAATTTTCAATCAAGATCATTTTAAAAAATAATTATATTTTCCAGCTCATTAATTGGGGTTCACTATTCAGTTCTTGCTAAATATAATACAGGGAGGCTCAGGTACGGTCCGTATGCGGACTTAGGTGTAGTTTTGGAAAAAAACGGCTTTCTTAAAAACATAGAAAAAAGATGCGTAAATATGGTTTTACCCAAAGAGAACGAATTCTTTCTCTCCTCTTTCTCGTTTCTTTTTTCATTCGTAAAGACGCAAACAGAACTCAAATATGTGTACTCAGATCACTTATGTTGCATTCATAATTTTTTTGTGATAGAACGAATCAATCGATCTTAGGTTTAACGAATTTAAAACGAAATATTTGATTCATTTCAATCAAATCGTAAAATAGTTACAAGAACTAAGAACCCAAATTGAAACTGAATAGGTGTAAATTATAATCAAAATATGGAGAATACCAGGAAGAACTTAGTTTCCATCTAACTTCTCTCTCCCTCGCTCTCTAGACTTTTTTTACCTCTGTCCTCTCTTAATTGGAGATTTGAAATAGCAATTATAAATTGAACCATTTGATCAAACTCATGACTGATTTTTTTCTTCTTCTCATGGATGAAATATCGATGTTAAAATCCATGAAAAGAATTTGAACTCATCTCATCAAACCAAAGTTAATTTTGATAATAATATTTGGTTTTCTCATTAAAACTAGATGATTATATTGTTAATTGATTTGTTTGTTGGAGATTCCTAAATTCAGAAGTCCACACTTGATTGAATCTTGTGTAGAGATTACATTGAAAATCATATCATAGTTAATCTGTTAATCTTGTGTAGAGACAGATAGAGAAGAAAAAAACGAGCAAAAACATATCATATATTTATAAAATAGAGACAGAGATCTATGAGAGACAGTGAAGAGATAAAGGAAATGACTCAAACGAAGTCTGGGTATAGAAACTGGGTTCATATAAACCCGTTAGTCAAAACCACATTTACGTGATCTCGTTTATTAATTTCAATTCGCGAATCACTTTACAAAAAAACCCTCAGTCCGCATACGGACGGTCCGTACCTGAGACGGTCTGAAATACAATGGTAAAACATAACGTTTTGTTGCTGGTATAGAAAGAAGTTTTTGCTTGATCAGGTTTGAACATTGAGATTTGATTGTAACCCGAATACCCATCCATGAAGGATAGTAGCTCATATCCAGCTGTTCTATCTACTAATTCGTCAACCTTGGGCATTACGTACAGATCTCTTGGACATGC